AAAATTGAAAGATCAGGATAACACATAGATGAATAAAAGATCTCCCAAAGTATATTTGAAAATAACATTGCATCTCTAGACAAATGCGTGGCTTTACCAGTGTAATCAGTAATGTCACAGAGACCAGGTAAGCATCTGTAATTACTACCTTGCTTTTCCTGGATGTGCTCAGAATATTTGCAAATTTAGACAAGAATTTATACTGCTGTTTTATCACCAGTAAACTCCAAATTGGACATACTATTAATAGCTGATTGTTTTCATATCTCAGTCATGAGACCTGTACAGTGCTATTGATACCTATTTTTTCTTGGTCAAGTTACTACACCTCACTGTATTTAGACTATGGGATCTCTAAAAGTTTATAATTTAATTCAAACAACAGAATGATTAGGAAAATGGTTGGGAGCAAAGTCAAGTTTTAGTACTTTTTACCAGTGGTCTATCTATACAGCTAACCTGAGCACCTTTTTGCTTGGGTTAATTGAGGCAACTAAGAATGGTAACATATTTAAAGAAATAAAGAAAGAAATAATAATAATAAAGGAAAGGCAATCGGCATATCATTGTCAGGGAATTTCAAAATGAGTAACACGTATGTTATCATGCTGACCATCCTGCCTGTGCAATTGTGAATGCACAGTACTGATTGGGGCACCCAAAAGTGTCTCAGGACTCAGAAATTGGGGAAGACTGAAAAATGTAAAAGGGACAATAAGCTTTGCTTGTAATTCAGTAAAGCAGGTGCACCTGAGTAAGACTGGGGATGGCAGAGTTGTACGGGAGTCAGATGTAATACATTCTTTTAAAATCCCTATAAATGAGCTACTAAGTAACTGACCACCAATAAGCCCTTGGAAAGTTACTGTAGTAGTCACTGTTTAAGACAGAGACTGTACAAACTACATAGACTAAGTCCTTAGAGCCCTGCTTCTTCCTATTTAGAAGAAACTTGGACATTAATAATCCCTGACTTTATTGTATCTATATTTTGAATGTCAAGAATACATCAGAGGTAATAGTCCAGATTTTGTTCATAAAGGGTTAAAAGTTATAAAATACGACAAGAACAGGCCAATAGGTATAGTACTTGACAATATGCAAGATGAAACAAGAAAATCAAGGTCAACATTCAAATCTAGGATGGGAATTGAAAAAATACACACTAAATCTATGTATAGTTTATATAATTTAAAATGTCTTCCAAGCATGCATTTTATGTTTTGGTTAATAATATTTACATGAACTTCAGGGTAGGCTTTTGTTGATTTGTTCTATGGCCCAAAGGAATGTTACTCGGATTTTTATAAAGAAATTTTAATCCCCAAAATGCCACTTGGCATAAGGATTATTTTGAACTAAAGGCATCTTTTTGTTCAATTTATATTTAAATATTTATGGTCTGTCCAGTTGGTGTGGCTCAGTGGTGGAGTGTTGACCATGCACCAAGAGGTACACTGGTTTGATTCCTGGTCAGAGCACATGACCAGGTTTCGAGCTCGATCCCCAACAGGGGCTGCGCAGGAGGAAGCCAATTGATTTTTCTCTCTCGTCAATGTTTATCTCCCTACTCCCTTCCTCTATAGAAAATAAACAAAAACATTTAAAAAACAAACAAACTATGTTTTGGTACTTGGGGTTTCATTTCCTTAAGAGGGCTCTTGGGTCATGTAAAACTTACATTAAGTAAATTTCTACTGTTAACTTATCATATCAATTTGATTCTCAGTCCCAGCTGAAAACTCTAAGAGGTATATAGATAAAAATCTGCCTCTCCTAAAAATGAAAATCACTTCAATGAATACATGGTTAAATTATATTAGATTTAACTCGACAAAATTTGTTTGTTTATTTGTAAAGATTTAGTCTAAACCAGCCATTCAACCTACATCGAAAATTCTATAATTACTAACAAGCTTATAATAAGTAGTAAGTCAAATACTACTTCACCTATAATATATAATAAATTAAGATCAGAGACATCTCTTGCTACATCTTAATTACGTATGAATTTATTAAATACCTTGCCAGAGACTTCAACATCCTATATAATAAAACTCTAATATGCAAATCGACCAAATGGCAGAACAACTGGTCACTATGATGCACACTGACCACCAGGGGGCAGATGCTCAACACAGTAGCTGACCCTTGGTGGTCAGTGCGCTCCCACAGGGGGAGTGCCACTCAGCCAGAAGCTGGGCTCATGGCTGGTGAGAGCAGCAGCAGCAGCAGCAGCAGCGGCGGTGAGAGCCTCTCCTGCCTTTGTTTCAGGCAGGCGGTAAGGAACGAGGGGTCCCAGACTGCAAGAGGGCACAGGCCGGACTGAGGGAATCCCCCCTCCAGTGCACGAAATTTCATGCACCAGGCCTCTAGTTAATATATTTCAGCAGCAGTCTCAAAACAGGCATGAATTAAGATACAGCAATTGCCTAACACAAAAATTATTATATTAAACTGTATCTGTATTTTAAAACCACATTCATTTGATGGATTAAGAAAGGATTCCCTAAGGCCTGTACAAGAGTCACTATTTTTCTTATTTTGAAGAGTTTAACTGGAACTGCTTGGCCACATTTACAAAAAACATTTGGACAACTCCTGCCTGTCACACTTGCCAAAGCTCTCAAGTACAGAGAGTGGACATAATCTCTTTACCACATTTCCTAACTCTACATTAACAGAAAAACTAGATCATATTAACACCAGACCTTATGTTAGTCATATCAAGTGGCCAGCTGTACTTACTATTTTGCAATTAAGGACTATTTCTGTCCTTTGAGATTTAAATATTATTACTTTATTACTACATAAGGCAAATATGTTTGTACAAAGGGAACTTTTTGGAGTGGCCCCCAGTTTGCCTTCATTACATCATTACTACTTCATTCCAATGGTATGGGTTAGGATTCAAATACCCAAACCAAACACAGTTAACAATGTAGCTCTTTAAATCTTAAGTTAAAGCCAAGTTATTTTTGTCTCTCACTGTTCTTATATATTAATATTCCATCTCTGAAAACCTATTTATAAGGCGACCCTAATAATTTCCAATTACCTCGTAAATTTAATTTTGTTAATTGCAGGTGTGTTTGGGCTGAATGGTCTCTAACATCCAGGAATTCATTGGGGGATGGGGAGGGGTAGTGGTGATGGTGGTGGTATGTGTGTTTTAAGGCAAAAGTGCAAGAATATTCCATTTGGGCTGATATGTATCAGAATCCGATATAGACCATGTGTCCTTCCTGGCTGTACAGGTCTTTTCAGGAAGAATGAAAAAAGAAGAGGTGATACCCAGAAAGAAAACTCTGATGTTTTTGCTTTCCCCAAGTCTCTAAACAGCAGCATTTTTCCTTGAAGCTTAAAAACCCAACTGTGCCTTATAAACCTTCCATTTGCCTGCACTGGGACCTAATCATAATTTAATAGCTAAATATCGCGTTATTTAAATGAAGACTAATGCAAAGTCAACAAGCCTCCTACACAGGGGCTTAAAATCACCTTCCTGGAAATCCACAGCTACACTGAAGATTCTGGGAGAATGATTCTCACATGGCCGGCAACCGTTAGAATCCAGGACTGTCACAAAGCAATACTACTGTTCAGAAGTGTTCTGTGAAATAGCAGGAAGTGTTTCGAAAGAAGCCTCTGGCTTCAAAAGATGACTTTTCAAACGAACTTTTGGTTTTCTGGAACCAAAAAAAACCCAGCTGATGATCCCCCTTTCTCTGGGGGACGGATGACCATAAATGTATTCTCGTATCTGAAGTAGGGAAGTCTGATCTTAAATAAACGAGGACCCAAGTTATAGTTTTTCAGTCCTTTCTCATAGGTAATAAGCGTTGGATGAAAAGGGCACTGCCTTGCCTCACTCACAGACCTGTGTCCCCACGGTCCCTGTCCTCCCCCACATGGGTGACCAGAGAAGGTGTGGGCTTCGGTTTATGCATTTACAGGGTCGAGGATGGCCTCTCCAACCCTGAACGTGCCCCAGCCCAAATACGGAGCTGCTTAGCACTGGTGATAATTGGACAGGGCACCGCTTCCATATTTAGACTTACCAAAAGTTGACATTTTTTTAATACCCACATCCCACCCACCTCACCACCCGGAGTTCAAGTGTTCACAAATTAGAGCAAGGAGAAGAGGCACCCCTCAAAGAGGGGTGTTATGCTCCCAAATGACAGCTGAAAGCAAATGCCAGGAAAGCAGATGGGGGAGGGAGAGGGGAGAGAGAAGCTGGTGCAGGAGTGGGGCGCTAGATGCTGGTTTAGAGAGAGGAGCACCGAGTTTCAAGAGATGCCTTCCCAAACCTTTCCTGGGGTGGCCTGACCTGGAAATGAGAGCAGTCCTTGCAGAGAGGAGTTTCACTCACAAAGAAGAGGGGTCTGGGATCACCCCAGGCAGGGGGGTGAAAACCGTCCTGGCAAGAACCTGGTTTCAGTTTGGTTATTATGTCACTACCTAGAGGAGTCACTTTGAGTCAATCCCGGACTTCAGTTCTCATCGGTGAGGGTGAAAGCTGAAGGGAGCAGCCGGCCAACCTCCCGCGACCCTCTCCCGGTGCTGATAAGCTTGTCCAGGCTCAGAGTTCAAACTTCTGCTGCAGAGGCCCGCTAGGCTTGCTCCCCTCGGGCCAGGGGGGCGCGCTGAGCCAGGGCTCTGCTCCATCCCTCGCACAGCAAACGCCTTCCCCAGACTCAGCAGGAGCATCTCACGGGGCTCCTGAGCCATGCACTGACTTCCCTGGTCCTGCGGCTCAAGTCCCCAGCTACCGCGCGGTCCCCTGTCCTGCTCCGCTGGGGACTCGGGCCACTCCCTCCCCCGTGCGATTTAGTCTCTGTTCCAACGGTGCCTAGGCGAGCCCAGGGGTCGAGAGGAAACCGAGCAGGGTCCCCCGGCCCCGGGGTCCCGGTGGTTGGCGAGCCTGGCAGACGCCCCTGCCCCGAGCCCGCCGCCCGCCGCCCGCCCGCCGCGGGCTCCCCGCGGGCGCCGCTCACCCGCGATGTCCCACAGCTGCAGGCGCACCAGCGTGCGCTGGTCCCAGTGGAGGACCTTGAGCGCGAAGTCCACGCCGATGGTGGCCCGGTAGTGCTGGGAGAAGAGCTGGTGCACGTAGCGCTTGATGATGCTGGTCTTGCCCACGCCCAGCTCGCCGATGACCAGCACCTTGAAGAGGTGCTCGCGGGTCTCGGGGGCCTCGGCGGCCGCCCCCCGGCCCAGGTCCCCGGCTCCGCCGCCCGCCATCGGCGCCCGGGCCCCGCTCCTCCTGCCCGCCGCCCGCCCTCCGCCGCCCGGGCCCGGCCCCCGCCCGCCGTCGGAAGAAACTTCGTCGACGCCGCGCCCGCGACGCCGCCTGATCGGTCACAGGACCCGGAACCGCAGGCCGCTCGCTGCCCGTGCGGGGCGGGGAGGGGGCCGGGCTGGCCTGGGGGGAGGGCCGACTCGCGGCGGGTCCTCCCCCCGGGGCGTCGCCAACCCGCCGGGGCGGCCCGGAGCCCGCGCGCCCCCTAGTGGCCAGTCCTCCGGCAACTCGCTGATGGCAAAGGCGCGTGCAGGTGGTTCAAGGTCAGCCTGACAAAGTGCAGGCGCCCCTGAGCCAGCTCCTGCAAGTCTGGGTCAGAGCTGGGAGGGTGGGAGGGTGGGAGGTGGGCGTGGGGTGGGACTTAGGGAGGTGCTGGCCTTGGACTGAACCTTCATTCCTGGCTCTGTCTGCACGGAGGCGGTTTGACATCTGGAAATCACTGACTTTGCTTTACCTCTAGGGCCCAGTGTTGTCGGTGTCTATGAGTATGTTTTTAGTGTGTGTTTGTTTTGTTTTTGCTTAATCCCTTCAACCTATTTTACCCAGCTCCCAACCCCCTCCCCTCTGACAGTTGTCCGTCTGTTCTCTGTACAGTATATTTGAGTCTGTTTCTATTTTGTTTTGTTTTGTTTTCCACACAAAGGTCTCACCCTTTTTTAAAAGTATATATTTTATTGATTTTTTACAGAGAGGAAGGAAAAGGGATAGAGAGTTAGAAACATCGATGGGAGAGACACCGATTCAGCTGCCTCCTGCACACCTTCTACTGGGGCTGTACCCACAACCAAAGTACATGCCCTTGACCGCAATTGAACCTGGGACCTTTCAGTCTGCAGACCGATGCTTTTGTTTGTTCATTCAACTCCAGATATAAGTGAAATTCGATGGTATTGGTCTTTCTCTGACTGGCTTATTTCATTTAGCATAATACCCTACATGTCTATCAAAAGGTAAGATTTCTTTCTTTTTTTACAGCTGAATAGTATTCCATTATCTAAATGCACCACAGCTTTTTTATCCTCTTTGTCTACTGTGGGGCTCTTGGGCTGATTTCAAGTCTTGGCTATTGTAAATGGTGCTGCTGTGAACTCCAGGGCCCGAGCTAGGAGAGGTGAAAGGGAAGGGCAGGATGGCTCTGAACCTGATAAAGGAAGAACAACGCGTTAGTGTTTAAATGGAGGGGTGAGTGTGAGGCAGGTGACGAAGGGTCTCATGGGTATTTTACTTCCAAGCTTTCAGCTGCTAGAGACTCTGAGATTAATCCTAGGAATTGATTGAAAAGCAATAGATAGTATTGAGGGCTTTTGTTTGAAAGAAGAAAGTCTTGCCTTTCTTGAATGGAGGATGCCCTCCTCCCTACTATTTAGAAACACCGGAAGCTAATACCCTCTGATTCTTCCTTAAATGAACTAAAGCACTGCTTACCCAGCTAGCCTCGCTCCACCTGACAACCACTGAAAAGTGTTTTGCTGTTTTTTGTTTTTTTTTCTTTTTTCCCAGAGGTGGAGGCGTTTTAAAATTTAAAAGTCAAGGTGGGAGTAAGACCTTTATTAGAATAGCTATTGAAAAAAAAGATCACACATGGATTTATCTCTCAAGTTTAATGGCCAACCAGCATATGAGTTTTACGTTCCCCCAATCAGAGAGCTTTTCCAGTTTTCTCCAGTTTGGGGGAAGGAACCCTCCAGTTATTGCCATAAGTGCAGCATATTGTCCCATATGTACATACGTATTACCACAGGTTCCTCCTTCTCTAACCCTCCTGGGGCACCACTGGCAGAAGTAGAACTGCTGTGCTGAAATTATATGAGACAAATGATTTAACATTTAAAATGGTCACAACTACCAGGGAAGGCAGGATGCTAGCTTGGATCCTGCGTTCCTCACTGAGTGGTAAGGGTTTGTTAGGACAGAGTATCAGGGCCCCTCCCTGAGGGATTCTGACTCAGCAGGTCTGGGTGGGCCCAGGTAATTTGCATTTCAAACAAGTTCCCAGCTGATGCTGATGCTGTGGGTCTAGGAGCACATGGTTTGGATCAGTGCCTGCTTCTTAAACTTAAAAATTTCACATGAATCATCTAGGATCTCATAACAGCACAGGTTCTAATTCTGATGTGTGGGGTGGGGCCTGAGATGCAGAATTTCAAATAAGCTCCGAGGTGATGTGAATGCGTGGGTTGGCAAGGGTTTAGATTAGAATTTAATAGTTCCCACATTTCTTTCCTCCCACTTCTCCTTTCCTCCACCAGGGCTCCCTTTACTTCCCAAAGGAACTGCTTGAATCCATGTGATTATCTTCACATCAGCTTCTGAAGAACTCCTAACGCAGGCATGCAGTAAGCATAATTCAAATATGAAGGGAAAACACATGCACGCAAATGTACCTAATGAGAATCCCAGTCTTTCAAATGGTTCTTGTTTCTTCCTGTAAATGATAATGTCTCACTTCACTTTTTCTTTTTTATGTGTTATGTCCTTATTCGGAAATCTTCTCCAAACTCTCAAAAAGACCTATAAAATCTCTCATAAGATAGTCAAATTTTTATCAGTTAAACTATCATATCAGTTCCATTATTTCTTATGAAGATATCCCTCCTGCAGTATATATTTCATTGTATTTTCCTCATTTGGATTGGAAATTCTTGGGCTGGCTGCACAGTTTTGTTTTGGTACTTTCCTTTGCCCTCGTTCTGGGTTTTTTCTCAATTTCTCTGATATGTTGGAGCTTTGACATCGTGGATTCCAAGTCTACCTCACCTTACTGGAGCATATTCTTCACTAACTTTCTCAGAAAAGGTGCTTTGAGCCGAAGCCGGTTTGGCTCAGTGTTAGAGCGTCAGCCTGTGGACTGAAGGGTCCCGGGTTCGATTCCGGTCAAGGGCACGTACATTGGTTGCGGGCACATCCCTGGTAGGGGCAAGAGGCAGCTGGTTGATGTTTCTCTCTTATCAACATTTCTAGCTCTCTATCTCTCTCCCTTCCTCTCTGTAAAAAAAAAAAAATCAATAAAATATATTAAAAAAAGAAAAGGTGCTTTGAAAGTAAATGTTTTTGAGTCCTTATAGGCTTGAAAATATTATTATTGTACTCTCACATTTGATTTAATGTTTGAATAATTATATAATTCTAGATTACAATTTTGACCCTTTCAAATTTAATTTCAACAGCATTTGCTTATTGAATTCTTCCTTTCAGCGCTGTTCTTTTAAGTCCAATACCACTCTGATTGACATTTTTTATATGTGTTTATTTTGTCTGAATGTTGTTGTTGTTTTTTTCTTTTTTGTGGGGTCGAAATCTGGGTTCAAAATAAGACCACCGGAGGCTGATGATTAATTTTAAAAAGCAGGCAAGGATTTATTGAAATAAAAACTGGCCAGGACAGCCACGAGAGCACAACCACGCAGGTGGTCTCCACACAACTGCACTGTTTCAGGGGTAGGCAGTCCCTTTGAAAGGTTCAAACCACAGGAATTTTCCTTTGTTCTAAATTCTAAATCCTAAAGAATATGTTCTAAAGACTGGGGTCAGCCCACAGGGTCGTTGCTAGTCACATCCTGCTGGACATTGGAATGTGGCCCTCTCTTGCGATAGCCAATAACACAGAAGCAGAGCTCAGCAGTTAGTCTCTAAAAGTTATCTATAGTTTCTATCTCTGAAGCTACTGAGTCAGTGGGAATCAATCTCCTGTGGTCCTGGTCCCAGGCAAGGGAAAATTGCCTTAGCCCCCAGGTCTTCACCTGGAAGCTGAGGTAAGTATTCCATGTTTAATCAGGCAGGAGCCAGACTTAGCAGGGTTAAAATTCAAACAGCAGTTTTTACCAAAGTATGGTTGCCACTATATTTCAACTTCTCTTTATTTCTGATGGTCTGAGATTTCAAAAGATCTGCGTTAGTGTGGATCTTTTTTATTCATTGGGCTCTTTTAATATGGAAATTTAGATCACTCAATTCTGACAATTTTGCTTGTATTATTTACTTTCTATATTATCCCCTTATTTTTCTTGGTTTTCTCTTGTGAAACTTCTGTTATCTGGTTGTTTAAATTTTTTGTCAAGTCTTTTTTTTGTATTGATTTTTATTTATTTTGTCTTATGTCAGTCAACAAACTTCTCTGGAGCTCAGTGTTACACAAAAACAAGCATTTGGTACTCACCAGTCTGTAGTGGACTAGGGCTCTGCAAGGCTTGGCTGGACTTCGCAGGTGAGGGTCATGTGCCGCTTGTATTTCTCATCTTCCTTGGACCAGTAGCTTCTTCAATGGCAGATGTTCAAGAAATGTGCCTGTTGAGACTTTGGTTTGGAAGTAATGCATGATCACTTCTGCATACATGTTTTTGGCCTTGTTGTCCTAGCCAAGCATCAAGAGAGTAAAAAATAAAAAAAAATAAAAATGGCCTCTATTCAGTGGGGAAAAGGAGAAAATATTTTCTGGAAATTAATTTATTACACTTACATTTTTTATTTTTGTTTGTGGGAGGTTCTTTTTTCTGAAAGATTTCCTGTTGTATTTCTCTTATATCATCTTTTTTATTTCCAAGACTCTTATTTGTTTTTTGTTTTTTTTTCTAACAGTGCCACTTCTTTTAAATAAAATAATGCTTTTCTCATATCTATCTGAATAATAGTCTGCTTTTACTCTTTAAAAAATGTTTGTCCTGCATTCTATATTCCACTTGGAGTTTTTTTCTTTTTCTTTACTATGTTTCTGTCTTACATAATAGAGGCTATATTTAACTGTCTAATGATATTTCACTGATTCAAAAGTGAAACACCCTCCTTAGATGGAATTCTGTGAGCATAGGTAGGGATTGTTTTTAAAAAAATATATTTTATTGATATTTTACAGAGAGGAAGGGAGAGGGATAGAGAGTTAGAAACACTGATGAGAGAGAAACATGGACCAGCTGCCTCCTGCATACCTCCTACTAGGGATATGCTCGCAACTAAGGTACATGCCCTTGACCAGAATCAAACCTAGGACCTCTCAGTCCGCAGGCCAGTGCTCTATCCACTGA